TACCTAAATAATCTTGAAAATTTTAGGGGTATTTTAGTTATTTTATCTTGTTGAAAATATTTTTTATATATTTGTTTTAGTTGCACTCCCATTGAGATGATGGCATGTACCAATATTTATATTCATATAATTTGTAAATTAAATAATAAAGATAGAATACTCTGAGACGTCGAATCTAGATCAAATGGTCCATAGCTTATTTGATATAAATTGGACGGCTCTATAGCAGGTGAAATATAGAAGCCTTTCCCATCTAGGTATTGGATTCTCAAGCCCAATATTATAGTTAAAGACAAGTATGGTTGGTGGATATAGAGCATGGCACCCAATAGTAGTACCCAGTTCAGTATACGGACACATTTAGCAAAGGGAACAATGTGATGCATTTCAAAGATTACCCTGCCTATATACTTGGGTAATCAGACCTTTCATTTACATATTTTTGAGTAATAACTTAGACTTAATGTTGCGTGTTGCCATTTTTAAACCTTACCTACACAATCTCAAATCCTATCTTAAACCTTTTTTTATTAAGAGTGTATGTACTATGCTCTTATGGGAGCAATACTATCCATATACTCCATCAGAAGAAAACCTATTTGGGAGCCTTTTTTTTTTTTAAATCTAAAATTTTGCAAACTACCTAAAATCAATACATGATTATTTTCAAAAAGAGAAATTTTGAATTTAAGTTTTCTAACACTCAGATCTCACCCTCAAAAAATTGGACAATCTCGATGCAATTTGGAATTTTCCTTTTTTATGTTACTCTAAAGGTTAACAATTTTACATCCCCAAAATTTGGTATCCTAAAATTACTCTAAAATTAGATTTTACCCGAGAGACTAGATGGATAGCATCCATTTACTTGGATACCAAAAGGTATATCACATTTCTCCCTAAACACCAGCTTACAAATGGAAATTCCCCACATTTCTTTCTAATAGGGCCTAGGATCAGTCTAATATTTTATAAACATGTAGCAGATTTTTCACAAATGACCAATATAGGATGGTTGACTTTTCAAGTATTCAAGAATGGATGGGGACATTTCCGGTAGTACTAAATCTCGAACTCCATTCACACCAAAAACATAGGGGCCAGATCCCCACTTACTTACCTTTTACTTACCAAAACAATAATTGCATGGCCATTTATTTCATCATTTGTCATGTTTATCTAGCCAACATATTTTGGTAGGATATACTTGAGAAATTAAAAAAGAAGCTTTTTATTTTATCTCTATGTATGTGGTTTTTGCCTTTTGGAAAAGGTGAATCGTGGATTCTGTTCCACTACGTGGAATAGTTTATCCGTATCTGAAAAGTGCATTCTCCTTTAATCGGTAAAAAGTTATTACTTGTAGGAATCATTACATTGCTATTTTTTAAAATTGTTTTATCTTTTTAAGACCCTACCATTTTTGTTTTTTTGATTAATTTTAAGGTCCTGTCTTTAAGGGGTATTATTTAATCGCACCTTAAATGTATTCTCCAACCTCCAGTATCTAGAGATCAAGCTCACGTAGTCTTTGAATAACACAAAGACGTGTTTTAAAACCCGATAGTCGGGATCTAGAATAGCCACCTTTCAAAACTGGGAGTTGGTTCGGACCGACCAGGTTGTCAAAAGTAAGAATATGTGAAAACTAAGAATCGGCCTGGATTTTATGGATTCGCCCAATTTGTCAAGGGAACTGAGCGGGTCTATTTAGGAACCAGATGACCCATACCAATCGGATCATCAAGTCTACACATTGTATTTTTTTATTTTTTTATTATTTTTTTTTTATGAACTAATTCTCACACTTGAGAATCAATCAAATTCGACGACCTAGACCATATTTTTTAGAGACCTGATTCTCTAACCAATCCAGGTTTTTCCAACACTAGTAAAAAGGAAAATCCACCATCCAATGTTATCCAGACCAGACTGGTCAATCTAACCATCTAGATTGCTAATCTCTGCCTTGAAAGGTCTAGTTCGAAACAAAATTTGAATTTCATTAAAAACTGTTTAAAATTTATGTTTAACCAGCTTTACCCTATCAAATCAATTCGTTTCAACTAATTGAGCCATCAACATCGAAACAACCTTTTTTAATGGATTTTTTATGCGCACTTTAAGTCTATATTTTAAACCTTATATAAACTTTTCTTTAATTTTTCCATAAAAAAACATATTTTTTTTAAAAAAAATGTGAGGTTTGTACAAGGTTGTCTCCTTATACTGTAAAAGTAATACGCATATCTAAAATTTGCTTAGAGGTATTTTTCTGTGTCGAAAACTTTATGATGGATTGAAAATTTATTTTCATCCTTAGTTATAAAATTTAAAGTTTCAGAAATGGTCCAAATTGAACAAATCAATAAATACTTGAAAACCTTTAAAATAGATGGTCCAGATAACTTCTTACAAGATGCACTAGTTTTTTGGACTTACACTTTTTTTTTCTTCATATTCATTTATTTCAGCATCGAGATGATCAATTGGAGGGTTCTCCAATGCTAAAACACTCTTCTATATGATTTTTGAGGTGCAGCTTACTTCAATAGCATAAAATTGCAATCTTATATAAACCATTTCCTTTAACAAAAACTGAAAACTGAAAACCGAAAATTTAAAAGCAAAGGCTGGAAATAAAAAATATATATACAGAATGGAAAATATAGAGAAAGACATAATTGAGTCGTTGTCATACAATAAAGTCATATGTTTATCGTTTTCTTGGAAAGGGTCAAACCATTTGGATGGTGGTGCTGGATTCACAAGTGAATTCGACAAAATATTTTGTGGAAATTCGCAAAGAAACTTGAAATTGAGTGAAAACATGAACGTGACTCTTGTTGACGAGAACAGAAGCAGATTAAAAAACTTAATGAGTTCAATCATGCCTAAAAAAAAACATAAGAAATTGAAAATAAATCAAACCTCATCTTGAAATTGCCGAAGAAGAGAGTGGACATTTTCTATTTATCCAAAAAGTGGGAATTTGCCAACTTTATCAATGGAAATATTTTAGGAAAAATAATAAAATATCTCTTCAATTTGTACTTTCTAGGCATCTTCTTCCAAAAAAAAAATAAAAATATAAAAATAATAACACCTTTAATACTACGACACTATTTTTTTCTTTACAACCACCCTGCCAAGTAAATTCTTTTCAAACAATAATACCCCCATTATAACCCATGATTCCAAAATGATGAAGCCCAACATGAGTCAATGTGGTACAACTTGAATATAGGCACAACTTGACCAGGGCACAAAGAATGTGCAAGCCTGGTTTACAAAGAGAGTGGAGAACACAATTTAGAAAGACGGTATTTTGGTCTAAAAAAATATACTTTTTGTATTTATTGTTTTGCTTTAAAAAAAGCTGTGCAATGGGATTGGGAAAAATAGAATCTAGGGCATGTATAGCATGGGAGCACGTTGTACACCCACTCCCTCGAGTAAAGGCATACTTACGATAAATTTTTTAGTTGGAAATTTTTTTATCTATTTTTGGATTACTAGGTATGTGTCTCAAAAAATACTAATTTGGATTATGAGTGCCTAAATATGAGAGTAAAAAAATTACACAATTTTCATTCAATATTAGGTTTTGTTTTTCCAGGCACGTATATAGTGTGTATTATAATGTGCTTGAATGTCCCATTTGCTCCAGCCGGTGCACAGCAGCTTTCGGCTTTACACGATTTTTATATTTTCATTATTTTTAAACTACTTCCTGATTATGTTTTTTTCTTTTTTGTTTTTGTTGGGTGGGTAGGGAAGTACACTTCTGAGTCCTGACATTCACGGGGTAACTTGGCTTCTTTCTGGTCATGAAAAAAAATTTATTGGGGAGGACGACAATGCTCGTATCTTTTGGTTCTGACGGTTTTACCCCCAAAGTTTTTCAAACATTACTTGGTGTTGCTAATAACTAGCCAAAAAAATACTTGGTGGTGCTAATTGTCAAAGGATTGTGTACTTTGAGACTATTTATCTTTATCACATGGATGTCATAGTTATTCTTAGCCATGAAATATCAAATTGGACCGTTTAGGGTGCTTCACGAAATTTGAAAAAAAAAAAAAAAAAATGGATCTTTGAGCCTAATCAACAACACACTCAAAACCCACCCAATTTGAAATCCGACAAAAACAAAAAAAATTGTACCTCCTTGTACTAAAAGGAAATAGTCTCTTTGTATTCTTTGAAATCATAATAGCCTATGTTAATAACCACCTCTCATAGGGGACCACCGGTGTGCTTGTGATACTTTCTTTTGAGATAAATGGTGTGATTATTTCTTTAAGAAATCTAACAACATACACCCAGTCCATCAATTGTTTAGTATTTTATGTTTTTTTCAACTATTCCAACTCAAGATATTAAATCAAAATAAATAAATAAATTATTTTATTTTGATATCATTTTGCATTTAAATCAAAATAAATGAATAAAACATTAAAGAGTTCATCTATGTGGATTTTAATAAATATCCCTTTTGTTCTTTAAACTTAATTCCACGAACTTGGTTCATTTTTTTCCAAGAAAAAAAAAGATATAGTGCCCAATCTCATGTCTCAACTTATAAAGGGTCATTTGGTTTAAGAAACAAAATTTTGCATCCATCTAGGCCTATGAGGTAAGTTTGTCTTTTCATATTTGGGGTTTTAGTAGTTGGGAGTTGCTTATGTCTGATGCTTTTGTGAAATTAAAGGTTATCTTTGTCTTTTTTATCCTTGGCATTTTATGGTATCTTGCTTAGAATCTACTACAAGGTTCATTTCTAAGTTTTGGCATTTGACTACAATCATATAAACCACAAAGTATACTTTAATTATTTCGATAAATTATTACCACTTGTTCCCATCTTTCATCAAATCTTGAAACATTTGTTATTTCTTAGTAAGACTAGTGGCTTATGTTTTCTTAGTTAGATAAGACCTGGATGAATGGTAAAACAAGGCTTAAATATTTTCAAATCAAATAAGAAAAGAACTCACTTATTGCAATGGGAAGAGTTAAAAGCTTGGCCCTCTTGACATATTCCTTTCCATCTCTTAGGAATGGGGCCCATTCCTTGGTTGCTGAAGCTTTCTGACTCTGGCCATATACCTGAATCATACAAAATATGTCAATTCTAATAATACTATTTTATAGTTCATCATCAACTAAACTCTTTTTTCAACTAATTAGGATCGGTAACAAGAACTTTTGATTCGTCATTCTACTCTATTATGTATGTTGAAAAAAAAGTGAAATTCTAATGATGTGCGGAAAAATGGATAAACAAAAGAAAAGAAAAAATGCTTTACCAGAGTCTAGAAGCCCAACAATTACATTTTTTCCCTGTTTTGCTTTGTTCAATATGCCCTTTGTGGTCCCATAAAGTTCATTCTCCATCCCCAAAAAGTCCCAAGACCTAGTTGTGTGCATGGTCCTTGCCTGGCTTGGAAATGCTGATACCACTTCTTCAACCTCTATTTCCATACGAAAAGAAAAAGAGTAAGAAAATTATTAACAGAGAGAACACAAGAAAATATACAACAATGGTACACCATCCCTTTTCAAGAAAATCAAATGCAACAAGAGCAAATGTTGTGAGAGTTCAAGGATTTAGGCTGCTGGAATGCAAACCATCCATGAAACTCATTAGGTGATTTAGTTAAAAGATTGGAGTATTTGATAATTTTTGTTCTCTTTGTTGAAGAATATGCATAAAAGCATAGTATTTATCATGGTATATACCAGATAATCTTGCTGCTTCAACAGGAGTGAGCCAAGCCGCGAAGCCATTGATGCTGTTCTTGTAACTATACAGAATAGAGTCCCTTGCTTCCTCAACTCTACATCAAATTTTTTAAAGGTGATGTTAATATAGAGAAATTATAGAAAATAAACCAGGGAAAAACTTTTACGAATCAAAATAAAAGTTTAACAGAAGCAGTAAACATCCACATACCCATCTTTTACCGAAAGTAGAAGCGAATGGTGATCTTCTCTTATCGCTTCCTCAGTTTTTAACCCACTGTGTTCTCCACAATATACTATATATACCTATTATTCAAAATTAAAGCAAGAAAAATTAATGGAATTCCAAGAAAATTCCATAAACGCTTCTAATTCTTCAGAAAAGCGGTGAAATAAACAGAAGGAGAATTCCTGTAGAAAGGAAAGGAAGAACCAAGATTTTTCCATTTTTGTTGGCTAATATGAATTAAAAATTATAAAACCCAAAGATTTTCAGCCATTACTATCTTCTATATGACCAAAAAAAAAAAAACAATTCAACAAGGAAATTGGTTTTCCCTATTTTCATTATTGGTTACCCAGTAAACAAGAGTCTTGAATGGATATAATGGATAGCAAAAGTGTTTCTACGGTATTAGATGTAGAAAAAGTACTAATAAAATAAAAATAAAGGGAAAAACAAAAAGTTCAAAGTGCAAATAGAATAATAAATAGAGGAAAAGTTAATCTATTAAACCTGGCGGTTAAATGAGGTAGCAGCAGCTGCAGAGAATACATAGAAAAGAAAGAAAAAATGGCAAAAAAGCGGGTCTCTGTTTTCCATATCGAGGGAATGAAGGGATGCAAGCAAATCTAAGAGAAGGCGTATATTTATAAGGACTTAAATATATGGCTCCACATAGCAATATCCACGTGGCAAGATTCCATTGGTAACTGGGAATTTCTAAAAATATTAGGTCACAAAATTTCCTATTTATTAATAACTGGGTTTTTATAGTTTTAGTTAGGGAGTAAAAAAAACAGTTACTATTTGTGCTCCATGAAGTGGCTTTGTGGTGCTTTGTATAGAGTCTAGAGACCCAAGCATTTAGATACCTTCTAATATTAGGGATTCTGGGTCATGTGAATCCATTGACTTTAGGCTAAATATTGAACATATCCTCTATGTTATATTCACTTCCTCGTTATGACCACATTGCCATCATACATCAAAGGATCACCAAGATATTCTATGGCCAAAAGTCAAATTTGTAGTCTTGAATTTCAAGGAATGTTGTGCATTTATTAAGACTTTCATATGGCTTAAAAAAACGGATCGGTGATCTGAATCACCCATCAGGACAACTGGTTTGGTTTGGTGGATTGGCAATCTAGCCGAGTGAACCGGCCAATAAAAAATTTAAGGTACAAAAAAGTGAAATATTTAAAAAATAAAAGGGGGGGTTGGTTCCTAGAGGGAACTGGGTGGTTCCCGATATTTTGTTAGTACCAGGCTAGCCTCTTTGTGACCTGATCTGAATGGGCCAGTTCTGTTCTGTTCGAGAACTGCTATTTTTTAAAACCATGGCTTTTCAAGAATATTGTAGAAAATCCTTCGCCAGAAACGAATATTGTAGAAAATCCAAAATACTAGACATCAATAGTGTATCGATTATGGTGCATCACAATGACATCCACCGAACATTTTCTAAAATGGACAGTAGAGATGAACCATAATGAGGTCTGTCTTAATCAGGATAGGCTCCCCAAACTGTCCAATAAGGTAAGGGATTGTTGGGTGTCCTACTGATGTACCATATTCTCAGCCCCTATTAAAAGTAACGTTGTTTTGCAATTATATTTTAACATTCAATTATTGTGCTTGTTTAGTGATTTTTAGTTTAACACGAAAAACCAAACTCCGCTTTTGAAATTACTCCTTATATATCCATAATTCACACAGAAAAGAAGGGTCAAGGATTTACCCGGTGTGAGAGATCACAATGTTCGAAAAAAAGTAAAGGATCATCAACAATTGCATTTTAGTGTGTTATAGATTCTTATCCAAGACTTGAATCGTTTGATGATGATGATACCATGCGAATTGCTAAAATAAACATAGAGAGCGATTTGAAACTATGAAAAAGGAAAGCAATATTCAACTATGCATAATTTGCGGGTAATTTGGGTCTTATTTTGTAGGAGGAAGAAACCAAGTGTGATGTGGAGTGTTTAAAATTTTTTCGATGGTGGAATCTTCGAGGTCTTTTGAGTTATTACAGTTTGAAAATAACAAACCAACTAATTATCGGATATAGGAAATAATAAAGCGGCTAATTAGCTCTCACACGGTATTTTCAAAGGGTTTACTTTACATCTTATCTCCAAATTTTCCCCAAATTTAAAAAATAAAAATAAAAAAATAAAAAAAAAGAAGAAGTAAGCTAACATATCAATAAGTTAACATGGGTTGTATGCGTTGTTGTTTTTTTATTCTTTTTAATCATGAAAAAGAGAGAGGATGTTATTGTTTCCCGTGTGTGCTGCGGTTTTCCTTAAGGGGGTGGGGGAGTTGAGTTTCAACTTTTTCGATTTTTATTTTTTTTAAATCGGAAAAATTATTGAGTACTTTCCTTGTTTACGCAGTTATCAAAAGCCACCTTAATGTTCCAAGACCGGGTCCAACGTGTGCCGAGAGGCTTGAGAATATATGTATAAAAGTGGGAAAACTCTTCTCACAGTCTATAGGCGAAAATGAATAGTGATTTTGCTTATGTTTATTACCGTCTAAAGTTCATCGTACAGTCACGATTGTCAGGTAGTGTTTCAATTTTCATTTTTTTTTTATAAATCAGAATGATCTGAAATTTAGAGCGTGTGTACATCTTAGTAAGATGCAGTTAATAAAAATATATAAAAAAAAATATTTTATAAAATATAAATCGATCTAAATACCCCCATAAATTTTTAGGGGTATTTTGGTAAATTTATATTTTGTGAATTATTTTTTTAATATTTTTATTAAATTTCACTATTTTTATGAACACACGCTCCAAATTTTAGATCATTCTGATTTCTAGAAAAACAATGAAAATTAAAACACTACCAGACAACTATGACCATGTGATGAACTTTGGACTGTGATGAGCATAAACAAATCATTATTCATTTTCACCTATAGGCGTTGCGTAGTGTTTTTCATAAACGTGTGTCTCTCTTTTGAGTTAAATCGACACCGGTACAACATGTTTGAAGTGTCTAAGTAGTATTTTGGGTTGAAAGGTTAGTATGGCCCTTATACCATGTTAAGCAGTGATTTCCTGCAACGGTTGTATTAAAGTATAGAGTAATGATCGTATGAGATCCTCTCAAACCCATGTATATAGGACTCAAAATGATCACTATTAAATTTAACACAGATCTCTAAAAAAGTCAAGTTTCACACCCATGTGATAACTTTTTTAGAGATCTGTACCAAATTTAATGGTGATCATTTTAGGGATAGGAGGGTCTCATGAGATCATTACTCTAAAATATAATGCAACCACAATTTTAAAAAACCATGTTTGTGGTATTTGTGTGGCCCAAAATTTTAGACACACTCTCTTCATCTCAGTAATCAATCTAAAAAAAAACTAATTTGCACCATATATATGGTCAAAATGAGTCCCCTAAAACAATGAATCTAGAACGTTCATTTGATGAATTTCAAGATCTAGGCCTTTATGGATTCAAAATCATTTTTTTTCTTTTTAATATTGTTAATCTAATAATAATTATTATTAGTTAAAAACTTTGAAAAGAAAAAAATCATTCTAAGGCTTAGATCTAAGCATCTAAACAAAACGAACAACCTATATTAATCGGGCTACAAAAAAATCTTTCTAAGTTGTATTTTCAAAGTTTTCCTTTTTGTGATTGTTCGTTAGAATGAAAAGAGTATATATTTTAAAATTTGGATCAAACAAATGCCCATAACATAGTTTTTGAATGTTTTTACATTATATTACTATATAACCGTGGTATGAAATCACTGCCCAACATGATCATTGTTTAAAAACTTAAAACCCTTGTGATCCCTAAAAAAGGGAAATTAATAGAAAACTACATTTTATTTTCAAAATTCCCATTTTTACGGTGACTATTGTATTTTAATTTTATTTCCTTTTCTGCACATGTGATTAAGCTGAAATTTAGGGAACCGATAATTCTCACCATCTCACATTTTACACAAAAAAAAGGAGGATTTTTCTGATAAATTTCCCAAAAGAAAATTATAAGGCACCAAAATATTAAAATAAAAATGGATATTTAGAAAACATTTAGTCCTATTTTATTTTTAGAATTTAAAAATAGTCCATTATACTTCATATCTTATACTCAACTCTAACTTTTTTATTGTATAAATTGTATTTTAGTTTTAAATTTTTATATACTATATTATGCTCAAATTTCGTATCTTCATACTTCTCAATATCATACACTTACAAAACTATTTAAAATAATTCAAAAAAAAATAAATGATCAAAATATAACGATATTATTAAGGTGTATTTTAGTAATTTTATTTATTTCAAATTATTTGAAATATTTTTATAGGTGTATTGCTAAGAAGAATGATATATCAAATTTTAACTTAATCCAATGTATAGAGAAAAAGATAAAACTAAAATATTTTATATGTTTTCAAAAAATGGGACTCAAGTGTAAAATATGAAATATATGAGATTATTTTCAAATTTTGAAAATAAAATAGGATTATTTTAGTTTGTTTCTCAAATGGAAAAGAAAAGTTATTTCATGCAGGGAGATTTAATAACCAAGTTTGGTTCTTCTTCTTTTTTTCTTTTTTTTTGGAATGAAATCTTTTAAGGAAATTTGTTAAAAAAATTCCATTTTATTTTTGAAATTAAAAAATAATCCCCTACATTACGCATTCAAAGTGTATAGTACATTGTAATTTTATTTTCTATATACAAATTACCCTCAAATTTGGAGTATGCATACTTCTCACCATCACAATTACAAATATAAACAAAATAATAATAATTCAAAATAAATAAAATTATTTATTTTCTATAATTAAATTATTTTTATACTTTACATATATATATGATAGTGAAAATTATAGACTCCCAAATTTGAGCTTAATCAATATATAGAAAAATAAATCATATTACACTATAAGCTCTGAGACCAGTGTAAACACGAAATATAATAAATTATCTCTTAATTTTAAAAATAACATAAGATTGTTACATTATATTCTTTACCATGTGAATTAATCAAATAATTTCTAAAGACATCTATAAATGACCAGTTGTCTCAAGCATGTTAGGGAATATTATGGAAGAGAAGTTGTGGGCTCAAATCCCACTCTCTAATTTTTAACTCCAGGACACCCGTTACAAGTAAGACAATACTTCATGTGACTAATGGAAAATTGTTTCTTGCGACTGCATTTCTACATATGCGGTCCAGAAAATGTAAAGCATCTTTTTAAAGATCGTTACAAGTAGGTGTTTCATTTGAAAACAATGGAAACTAACAGTCCAAATGTTTTTTTACTGGAATTATTATTTCTAGTTTTTAAAATTTATTTGTTTTTTCTAAATTCGTGATCTCCATGTTAGAGATTGTTCTTAAAAATTAAGTCTTAAAATCCATCTCAAAAGCATATTTATTAAGAGGCCCGCATTTCTACACATGCGGGCTTGGCCTCATAGAAATCGGGTCAAATTTTACATGTGACTAATAACTGGACACTTCGTCCCCGATGTAAGGACACACCGGATACATGAACCCAAAATGTGCAAACAAGGTGTCAAACCTATCTTCAGGATGACACCATG